CTTGTAGCAGGTGGCAAGAACCCTTGCCAGGGTATTGAAACTTGGCAGGTTGGCAGGTTGCAGTTTTTTGCAGCCTTTCCCTGCAGATTGGCAGCCTTGCTGGAAATTGTGGAATGTTGCGCTGGGCCAGCAACCAGATTGGATTGGCAATTTTGCAACCTCCAGGTCTGTAGTTTGGCAGCCTTGCTTGGGAAGTCTTGCAGTGTTGAGTTGGCAAGAGGTTGTAGTTTTCAACCTTGCTCTGCAGTTTAGCAGACTGCTTGGCAGGCTTGAAAAGCCTTGCAGTTGGGTGTGCCTGCAGTGTTGGAGCCTTGCAGTTTGGATTTTGCAGCCTTATTTCTAGTTTGGCAGACCTTGCAGCAAGTGGGAAGCCTGCAGTGTTGAAACTTTGGCAGGTTGGCAAGGTTGGCAAGGGCTGTAGTTTTGCAACCCTGCAGTGTTGGAGCCCTTGCAGGTTGGCAATTTTGCAACCTTGCCAGGGCCCTGCAGTTTAGCAGACTTGCTTGGAAAGTCTTGCAGTGTTGGAGCTGGCCCTGCAGTGTTGGAACCTTGCAGGTTGGCAATTTTGCAACCTTGCCAGGTCTGTAGTTTGGCACCTTTGCTTGGGCAGTGCTTTGGCAGGTTGGTAGGGGTTGCAGTTTTGCAAAGCCTTGCAGTGTTGGAGCTGAAGCCCTGCCAAGTCTGTTTTGCAACCAAGGCCTGCAGTGCCTGCAGTTTAGCAGACTTGCTTTGCCAGGTCTGTAGTTTGGCAGCTTTGCTTGGGCAGTGTCTTGGAAACTCTTGAAGTTTTGAAACTTCAGGTTGCCAGGGGCTGCAGTTTTGCAAAGCCTTGCAGTGTTGCAGCCCTGGCAGGTGCGCAATTTTGGCAACAGTCCTCAACAACACTGCACTTGAATGTCGACCCCAGCATATGCACATCTGTTTCTTGCAATAATGCAACGCATCTTCCTCAAAACGCAGAAAATGGTCGATCTTTGGGGGGGTAGCAAATATATATATATATGTATATTTTGGTAGGACCCCCCTCCAATGTATGTTTTGCAACATAGACATGTGGTGGCCACGTTTGGCAAAAACCTTGGTATTGGACGGGGGTCCTAGCATTTTGTTTGTGCAGACAAAAGCACAATATGTACCTATGTCCTGTTTAAGTAAGCGAGGGTGTTTGTTGCCCAACCGCTGTCTAGCATTGAAAAAGTCGGTTGGCGACCCCTCCCAACCAGGTTGTTTGTTGCATGTGCCCTTCGTTTGAAAGCGGACTTATGTTGGAAGGCCTGTTCCTTCCAGATGGGAGTAGCGATGCTGCGGTAAAATCCTCTTCGGGTATAAAAGTCATGAATGATAATGATTCGCCCAGGTATCATGGTTTGTGGACCTGCAAAGGAGCCAAGAAGAAGCCAAACACTTTTTGGGGTTCCCCCCCCCGTTTCTGGGATTGGCTCCAGGGCGTTTTGGACGGATCTGTCAACTTGGGCTCCGTCTCAGGACTTCCCAGCCAGAGGCGGGGCTTTGCTTCGCCGCGTTTCAGAATTCCAGGGGCTTCATCCGTTTCGTTAGGTTTTCGGCTTTTTAGTTGGATCTGAGGACAGCCCTGTTTTGCTTTGGCATTTGGGTTTTGGCCTGAACCACCCGAAAAGCCCCGAAATTGCTGGAAAGTCACCTAAATGTCCGAATCGCCAATTAACATTCAAAGCCCTTGCCGAAGGGGGGCTCCTTTTAGAATTAATCAACTACCGCAAGGATTTGTGCATACCCTTTAAGGAAAAAGTGTACTGCTCCGGTTTAAAAGTTGATCCATGTTCACAGAAGAGCTCCGACCGGCGGTCCGATGGGGAAGTCGTACGTCCAAACCACCGGTCACCAAGCCACCCACCCAGTCTTTCCATTTTCCTGGTTTTGTAGAAGCCCCCCTATTGGCCGTATCACTAGGTGGCCCTTGGGGTGAAGGTGAGAAAATATGAGCCTGCAAGAAGGCAGGCAACGTGTTGTTTGACACGCCTGCAATCAGTGCGTATGCGGTGCAGCCAGGCAACCCCACCTCAACACCCAGAAGGGCACGTGGCAATTGCCCACCGTTGTTTCGCTCTCTCTCTCTCTCTCTCTCTCTCTCCTCTCTCTCTCTCTCTCTCTCTCTCTCTCTCTCTCTCTCTCTCTCTCTCTCTCTCTCTCTCTCTCTCTCTCTCTCTCTCTCTCTCTCTCTCTCTCTCTCTCTCTCTCTCTCTCTCGTCGCTCTCTGTCTCTGCTGGCTCAGCATAGGCACGCATTCCAACGCACAGCTGTGCTTAGCTTCTTTGCGGCTATCCAGGGTGCGTCAGCTGGTGTGTGCTTGAACCACAGGTGTTGCAATCTACAAGGGCCGATTTCTAAGAAACAAATGCACCAACCGGTCTTTTGGAGCGGGCATTTGGCCGGCAACGCGCGGTTTCAAGTGGTTCTTGCACGGCATTTTTTTGGTCCCGGCTGGAGGTACCCATGCAACTGAGCGGAGTAAACCGGTTTATAGGACGCTCAGTTTGGGCACGGCGTGGGGGATGACGGATGGATCCAAAGCGCAGCGTTTGATACGTGATGGGGGTCTTTGGCTCCGAATCGAATTTTCCCAAACGCCTCCCAAGCCCAGAGCTGAGTTCTCGTCGGCACAGCTCCCGATTCGGGTTTAGTCATGCCCTTTGGCCCAAATTGGTGTGTTTTTTTGTGTGGGTAATTCCTCTTTTTGGTTGGATTTAAAGGGACCCTGAACGAAACTCACGCATTTTGGGGGGTCCCCTTTTTTTTAAGAGACTCCCAAACAGAGGAAATGGCGCCATCTACTTTCTCCTGGGTGTACCGCATGCCAGGTGAAGAGCAGCCTCGAGATCATGTGCCTCGAGGGCATGGATGGGTGGCAACCTCCAACTAAAAGCGGGGCCCCCTCCGGATTAGGACGCTTCTTTGGACCAATCAGAGATTAACATTGTTTCTTTGGAAAGTGGTATGGACCCCCCTAAAAGCGTGAGTTTGGCTTGCAGAGGCGAACTTGCCCCCAAGCAGGCAAAAAAGGACTACCGTGCAAGCAAGTAGCGGTCTTGGGCTCTGGCTTGACTCAGGCGTCAGCCTTGCTTTCGGCCGGCATCGGGCCAAGAATGCTTTTGAAGCAATTCCTCATTTGGCTGTGGGTCAAAACCAATGGTACCATTTTGGGGTAGGCGCACCACCCATTGTAGTCTATTTAGTGGGGATTGGGATGTTCACTGGGGGTACAGGCCATTTAGCATTCGATCTTTGGCAACCCACGGTCCTGATTCTGCATTTGGGATGCGCCTGAGCCATGCTGTCCCCTAGTGCCCTCCAGCCTCCAGCCCAATTTTTTTGATACGTAAGCAAGAGCATTGCTTCTCGCAGGCTTGGACTTCTTGTAGGGTGTGGCAACCCAACTCAGGGCGCTTCCCCCCAAACCCGGGGCCCGCAACTGATTAGTGCGCTTGGGTTTTTTGGCTGGGGGCTGCAGATTGTTTTTGGCCGCCCAAGCGGTTCTCTGCAGGCTGCGCATGTCGCCGTGCTGCACTTGGGCAGGGCCAGCTTTTTGTTGGCTGATGCGGATTTATGTTCAATCAGAGCCCCCCCAAACAAAAGAGGCTTGGCTTTGGGGTTTCCATTTCGAAACGGACGCCCAAAAAAGTCTATCCTCAACAGCAACCAGCCCATTTCAGAAGCCCAAAAGTTTCCACTGGGCAATCACATGGCTGTGGGTCAAAACCAACGGTACCATTTTGGGGTAGGTGCACCACCCATTTTAGCCTATTTTAGCGGTTGGATTGGGATGTTCACTGGGGGTACGATTTGGGTTTTGATTCATGGTCACATGTCAAAAGCGCGGCTCCAAGTTGCTGGGAGGCTTCTGGCAGAGGCCACCTTTGGGTCTCATCAAGGTCCATGGAAAGGCCGCCAGCCGTATGGGACATCCTGTCTTTTCGCTCTTTTTGGGGCTGCTTTGAAGGGAATGCCACATGGATTATTGCCCTTAGACAAGGCCCCGTCGCGAGGACTAAAGACAACTGTTGGCGCCCAGATTAGTAAACCTTGCGGGTTAAACGATTAGAAGGACGCAGTGAAACGAGCATGCTTCATCCCTCTGCCAGAAAGGCAAGAATATCCCAGCCTGTACCAAGCACTGGCTGGGAGAATTGCTTGGAATTTTGCAACTGCCTTAAGTAAGTTTGCCATGTGAACCAGTCTGCTTGCAGCTTGCTGATAATGAGCAAGAATCTCAATGAGCCCAGAATCAGACATACCCGAAATATGAACCCAAACATGCGTCGCTGCCGCAAATTGCATGCTATGCATGGGGATGGCGGCCGTTTCTCCGCAAAGGTGTGCGGGGTGCTAACACTTTGTGTTCGCCCCTCGCTGTCTTGCAAGACCCCGTGGACCACCGAATTCCGCTTCTTGCCAGTTTGCCCAATTCAGAAATGCAAGGAGGAGACAGACAACCATGACGACATCCAGGCCCATAGCCATGCCACACCCATACCCACACACCAATACGCCCCCCGCACACACGCAGCCGCAAAAAAACCCAACACAAAGACAACACAATGCAACAAAACACAACAAAACACAAAAACACACAAACACGAAAGCACAAACACAAACAAGCAAACAACCACACACACACACACACAAACCACAGGCGCGCACTCACGCACGCACACACACAAACCATACTGTTGCCCGTACCTGTACCCATACCCATACCCATGCCCATATTTTTATACCCACCTTCACCCCCACACCCGCGCACACACACAGCCACGATGCGCATACTCGCGTACCTTCACTCACGCATACACCCATGTGCAACTAAAACGAACACACAAAGCGCGCAGACACGTGCTTCCATTCTCAAATATATGCACATATGCACATGCTCACTTCCTGTGCTCCTGGACTTTAAGCTTTTTGGGAAGACCATTGTAGTGGCAATTGAAAAGTTCGGACTTCTTTTGATCAATCCTGGAAGTGAGCGTGCATGCTGAGATGGAACACGCACCAACCAAGCCTCCCAGTAGCCCAACATTGACGCAGAGCCATGGCCGCGCGGTTGAAGGCCCTTGGGCTCGACACTGGGTTCATCAAGCTGACATGGCGGTGTAAAGGGAACCCACCCCAAGTCATGTCCAGAACCCCGCGAAAAAAATGCGGGCCGAATTTGGCGTGACGGCGAAGAAAGTGAGGCCCGGGCCAACTGGCGCGTCGGAAGGGATCGGGACACCAACAAAGCCCTTCCAGTTTCTTATGGATGTGGGATTTGGGTGCATCGGCCGTAATCTGTAACTTTCCCCACATGCAGACCCCATATTTAACACCCAGAGAAGCGGCTTTCTCACCTCGCCGATGAGTGGCAGTCTCGGGCGCTTGAATTTGAGCATGGCTTTTTGCTCCTCCTGGGGCAAGGTCACCAGGTCGCCTTCTGCCGGGTCATTTGTTTTCCTTCTTCTTCCACAACAAAAGGGCTTGCACTGTGATGCGTTCTTCGTGAACCTCATGCGCCAGCCAGCAAAGCACAGGAAACCGTGGGTGAGCATCCGTTGACATTCACTGAAACCCACATCCGCCAGGCACTCATCGTGTCAGCGTTTTGGCTCATGTTGGAAGCTGCAAAAGGCTTGAGTTGCAGGGTGAGCCAATTCAGTCAACCGCATTTCAGATTGGCTTCCTTTGTGGACGCTCACGCCAGGACCTGCATCATGGCCAAAGCCTGAGAGGCCTTTTGGCTTGGCAGCGGCTGGGGGTAAGACTTGGGTTTAAACAGCGGCTCCCAAAGGGAGTTTCCTCCACAGATCAGGGTCTGTTTCGTGTGGACCTGCGGCAGATTGTAGGACATTTTGGGGCGCCGGAGGGGTTGCATTCATAGCGTTTTGCATTTGCATTGTGCGCAAATTCTCTTTGCTTTTCAGCTTGGAACGTCGTGGGCAGCCCCTATTCGCTGGATCGAGTCAGCTCCCGGAGGATGGTGAATGTGTGATTGGCTTGGTGGGACCCGAGCTTGAGAGCACATCCTGCAAGGGCTAGGCTCAATTCGAATGTTCAGCTTCGAGTCTCGAGCAGAGCGGCTATCACCACAGCAGCATTGGCTGGGCGCATGCCCATGTTTGCAGGCCCTGCCGATAGCTTAGTTTACATCTTTCTGGCAGTCACCTATCTTGTGGGAACGTTGATCAAGAGCCCCCTGGTTGATTTTGATCAGGGAGTGTCCCATGTAGGCCCAAATTCAAGAGGGGATCCTTCAACTGGAAGGGGAGAGCGTGGACATCTCTGGGTCCGCCCGAGGTGCAGGTGCTTTCGGGGCCCGCCTGCGCTGGCGCATGCCCGGCGGATTTGTTTTTTTGTTGGGTGACCCTAGTGGCCCGGAATGCGTGAGACCATAGCAATGAGGCATGGAACCTGGCGGGAAATGTTCCCCGTGAAAGGAAAACGGTCTTCCACCAGGAACCCCCCGAACGTCACACACACACTACATGTTGATTGGTGGGAGGGTAATGCATTTCAGGACTTGCTGTAATTGGGACACGTTGACCCATGCAGCACCTTGGATTTGTAGCTTGCCAAGGTGGCAAGCTGCTGTAGCCACGGTGTTGGCAATCCTGTCGGTGTAGCGCTTGTACTTATACTGACTTGGCATACCCTGCTGTGTCAGACAGTTCATGGTGCAACCACAAGCCATGGCAACTGGTGGGTGACGCATGGCAACAGCCAATGCTTGCCGGTGCCAACCTCAATTCCTTTTTGTTGCTGGTGTCCCCACGAAAATAATCAACCCCAATAGGGTCACTGCGCAACTGGGCGCTAGATGGATATATGTCTAAGGCTCTTTACTTACTTAGCCCCGATTTGAAGTCATTTGCAGGTGCTCGGGTGTGGGTTTTGAGACTTTTTGCCCTGTGCACGTCAGCCTCTGGAACGGATGCCCCACCGGCAGACACTCAAGCTTTCCTTTCCTTTTGGCAAAGCACCTGCAACCCCTTTTCAAGCTCGAAGGTTTGTTTTGAACAAATGCTTCTGACGGTTGGCTGGCGCGAGAAGGACGCTCGGACTGTTGGGGCAGGGCTGTCGTCAGGAGCATTTGTACGTGTTTGCACAATATCTTCTATTTTGAGAGGCGTTTTCGCTGTAGCTTGCCTGTTGCCCCAACACAGTATCATTTTCAGTGCCATACGGTGTTCCCCTTTTCTGCCAGATTAAGGCCCTGCAAGGGTGCTTACTTGGCCCTTCTGGGGATTGCAGTCATGGAGCGATAGAGGTCTGTCTTCTTTTGAGGGATCACCCAAACACCGCATGCTTTGAAAAATGGCGACCACCCGCCCACCAAGTTTGGGGGGGTTCCCCTTCGCGGCAGGAGCAGCTTCTCAGCTTCGAGCACTACCGAGGCTCTGCTCGCCGCTGGCTTAGCCTTAGCGGTGCGTGGAGCGGTGGAGCGCAAGCCCCAAAGCCGAAAGCCGAGCGGAGGCCGCCAAACAGCCCAAAAGGTCTTCTTTTCTTCTTTTTTTTTTTTTTTTTGGGGGGGGGGGAGAGTTTTTTCGGTCTTTTTTGTTTGGGGGGGGGGGAGGGGGGGTACTGTTGACCCCACATATGAATTGTGGGGACGGGGGGTGATGTTGACCCCATACTATGTTTTCCCCCAAGAAATATTGACCCCATATGAATCAACAAATCAACAGTTGATGAATGGTGGGTGGCCCCTCCAAAAGTGGCCTGATTGTCCACTAGTTTCAGGGACACCCCACAATTAGTAAACTGGGATCAGCTGGGGTTGATTTCTATGGGGTCACCAATTAGGTCACCAGGTTAGGGAGGTTCCTCCCTGGTTTCAGAAGCACATGTGGGCAGCTGCTGGCAAAGCCGACCCTTGCTCCAAAGGCGACCCGCTTCAGCTTCTCAGGCCTCTGAGATTTGTCCGGCGGAGCCTTTTGCCAAGAGGTTCTTGGTAGCCACACGGAAGTAGCTGAGGAGACAGTTCCCTTGCCACGAGCTGAGATCCGGCCCGTTGATTGTGCACGATTTGGGATAGGCTCCTTGCTCAAGCGGACATATTCCTTTCCTCTTTCAATCAACTATAACCAGATCTCGTAAATAACTTGGCTTTCAGGGCAAGCACCCCGAGCCCCCAGCTCCCCAACAAAACACAGGTTCCAGCTTGCCCCAAATCGAACAATCATGCAGTGCATCCGAAAGGACTCACCATACCTTTCTCTGGTCCATTAACATGGCACCTACCAGAGGCCCCTTCTAAAGGAAACTCATCCAGGACCCCTTTAAACAAGTCAGGTTTTGCATGAGACCCCGCAAAACAGAAGAAGAATAGTTTCTTGAGAAGCAACCTATTGCTTGGTATCCTTCAGTTGGTGGTTTGGATCACCCCGAAACGTCAGGCAATGGACAGGGCAAGCTTCGCTGTGCGACTTGGCGTGGCGAGGCCGCGAGGCCTTCTACTCGCGCATGCTTTGGGCCATCGATCTGATTCGAGGCCGGCGGCCCGCTGAATGTCACTTGCCAATGGAAAGGTACCTCGGTGGTTCCCAGACTTGGGATTTTAGGTTTTTAGTTGGTTTAGTGGAAGTTTCCATTTGACCCACTAAAAGTTACAAACTTTTAGAGGATCTGAGGACTGCCCAGTTACATGGGCCATCATTCAACGGCGTGTGGGTATATCGCTTGTTGGTGCCTAATTGTATCTTACATGGGGGCTGCCGCCAGTCCAAACAGAAGATCAAGAGGATTCACAAGGTGAGAGCTTCCCATGGTCAAAACTTAGGGATCTTCGTCGGCCCTCCCTGGAGCGCGGCTTTGGGGCGGCTCAAGGTGCGGACAAGTTCCCGATATGGCGGTCCGCGAGGCCGTTTTAGGTTTGCCTCAGCATAGGGCAACCCTCAAAATCGGTGGTTTCCATTGCAACAAACTCAGAAAAGCACCTTCCATTTGGTTGCCTCTTGAGAACTCTCGCATTTCTCACTTGGGGCAGCTTGTTCCCGGGCGAATCTGGGCAAAGACCACCCAAAGACCACCGAGCTTTCAGCTGGGGAAAAAGCGCCCCAACTAAGTAAACCAACCCCACAAGAGAATCCCAGAATACGTAATTCAAAAACACCTGGCTGATTTTGACCGAAAGCTATCTCCACTTGTGGGTAACCCGCCCGCAAAGGGTCGAATGGGCTAAACAAATGGGGTGCGCCAGGTTTCCACCAGCGGATCCTCAGCATGGCCGGCGAAGTCACCGGCGCCGCGAGTAGCGTCTTCTACTTGCCGTCCTTCTTTGGTTTGCGCCTCGGATGCGTTTTTTTTTTTTTTGGTGGGGGGGTTGTGGGGGGGGGGGGGCCTGATGGGTTGTGAGAAACAGACATCTTTACGAAAGCCACGCCTTCATTGGACCCGTCTGGGTCCCAGAACATGGCCTCCGAAACCGGACTCGAACTGCGCATGAGTATCCTTTGCATGGGCATTCCCTTGAAAACGCGGCACAAGGCAGGCCAAAAAAGGGTTTCTTCTTGACAACCCCCCCCCCCCTTCGTTGCACTTGTCCAGACCAGTGCGAGCTGCACCCTTCACACACCGCCTCCTTAGAGCATTTGGTCACCCCCCCGCTTGCACAAGCTAAGATTCACGAGGCTAATCGCGCTGCAAGACGAGGACATTTTGGGCATGGGTCACTTCAGATCGGGGTTCATTCATCCCGACTTGTCCATCCACAACTTGTCCGTTTACTGGGAGTGGTGTGGCCGGCTGCCGCTTTGTTCATGAGGAACATGAGGCGTATGGCGGTCAGGTGGCCGAGTAAGCTGTTTTTTTTTTTTTTTCCGCACTTGTGTTCATCAGCCAGAAAAACAACCTCGACACAAGTCGCGGATAGATGATGTTTGAATTGTTCAGGTACCCTTTTCTGCAAGGGGTTTGTCGCAGCCTGTCGGCCAGCCCAGATGAAATTGTCGCGATCTCTTGAGGGCTCCTGCGCAGTGAGGCGATTATCATCCTGTGGTGGATTGGGAGCTTCCCTTTGGCTGTGCATTTGTTTTTGTTGCTTGGCAGGTCGTGCGAGGTCAGGACTTCAAGACATAGGACTGTTTTGAGGGAGGAGCCTTTGTTGGGGTTTGCGCCGCCGCAGCCCACCTTCAATTCAAGCTTCCTTATCGCATCTCCAGAGGTGCGCTGATTTTCCTTCCCTTGTTCTCTTCAGACGGCTGGGAAGGGAGACAAATCCTATTCCAGTTCCATGTGTTCCTTGTAGAGACACACTGACTTGTTTGTTTTTGGGGCCTTCTTCTTTCCCCTCCCCCCTTTTCAATCGCGTCGAACAGACACCGTGCGCTATCCCAAAGTGATTAGCGAGGAGAGCCTGCGCTGCCTCATCCAGGCCTCCGCGACGATCACCCAGAGCAGCCTCTACTGGCGCAGCTCGGCTCTTGAAGAGATGGGGGGGGGGGAGTTTGGCGCTTTGCTCGTGTCCAGTGCTTTTTGGTGAACTAGTGACTTTTTGGTGAACTATTGACTTTTGGTGAGCTATTTGAATGTGATGCACATTCTTTTGCCGATGAGTTCGATCCAGCTTGAGTGGTAAATATGAGACACAGGATCTGAGTCTCTGATGTTGGTGTGCCAGGTGGGCCCGGCCGGTTCGGCCGAGAGAGCTGAAAGCGAGCGATTTACCCAAGGCCCCTGACCATAGGACATGAGTTTTGATCTGAACAGCTTGATCAACATCCTTTGCTCTTCATTCGGCCCTTTAAGGTTGGAACATGGGTGTTACAGTGTTCTGCCACCAATCAGCCAGATGTTGCACATTTTGGCACAGGGGCTTCATTCTGTCAGGCGCTGCTGCAATATTGGCCACATGCTGGCTAGAGCCGAAACCGGTCCCCATTTCATGGCCCACATTGCAGAACACACCCATTTGCTTCTTTTGAGTTGGCCCCATCCCACCTTTTCACGTCAGGTGCTTGGAAGATAGGGCGACCTTGGGATGCTGCGCTGGGTCCGCTCAGGAAATTTGGGCTATGACCACTTCTATGTGCACGGCATGGACTGGCGCTGTGGTGAATGCTGTTTCAACATATGTATTTGTTTAAATGGGACGTCTTGGTTTACATCACTTGCATGGTGATTTATGTCCACCAACCGTTTTTGTGGCGTGGGTTTCTCCATTGAGATTCTTAGCTGTCTCTGCCGTCATCGCCAAATACATGTTTCGAAGCGGCAGATTGGGTTTAGAATTCCCTGCCGCCCTTGCCACGTCTATGTCATTTGTGTTTGCGCTTGTGTCTTGGCGTGTGACACCTGATGTGTCCAACTCACTTCTCGTAGCCTTGAGGAGTACCCAGTGGTCACAGACTTTGACTTCGCGTGGGGTAAGCCCCAAGCCCGCGACGAGGAGCCTATGGGTCACATTGCCCGCGGGGTGGCTTTGGTTGTCCGAAGCGTGGAACGGGGGAGGGGGGTGGCCCTGCATGGTTGTTCCATTTTGTGGGGGTTCGGGGAAGGTCAACAGATAAACGGACCAGCCTTTGTTGCAGGAAACCGGATCTCAGGGAAGTGGATTGGGCTTGGGGCTGTGTTGGTGCATTGATTTAGTGGGAGTATTCGGAATTGGGTGTGGCTGTGATGCGCGGTGACCCTACCCCTGGCATAACTCACAAAAAGAAAGCTGTACCTGATCCTGCCAGATCCCACGCAAGGAACTGGCCCGCAGTCCCCGAGACAACATTGAAGGCGGCAAAGCTGCAAAAGCAATCCCTACAACCCCAACGCAATGGCTGCAGGGTGGTCACACCAATATGCAAACCTGAATGGCCGGCCTTACCCCTCTATGCAATGTACGGAGGGGGGGTGGTACCTTTATCGAGGGGGGCGTTCCACTCCGAAGATCGCAAATGTCGGCAAGGGCAGCCGGGTGGAAACTCATGTAGGTCTGACTTGGTGCCTGGAAAGCCAACAAAATGACGGAGGCTTGAGCTGTGGGGGGGGGGGGGTCAGGCATTTTAAAGAAGGGACGGCCGAACCAAAAGAAACGGGGAACCGTGGCGACAGGGGCCCACCAACAACCAGTCCCCACCTCCAGTGACACAGCCCTTACACAACTCCCAGTATCCAACCTCCCAACCCTCCAACCCCCCACCCCCCCAACCCGCCACTTGTGGTCCCTTCAAAGCTACCGAAGTATCCGAAGTGGCTCGCTCTAGCCTCCGCGTCTCCTGCGCTAGGCCAAGCTTTGGATCGTGCAGGCCTTCTATGCCAGCACGCGGAACATGGCCATCCTCACTACAGGCCAGGCCCGTGAAGAAGGCCTCGTTGTGCTTGGTGTTGGGAAGGGGAACGGGGCGGCGGGGGGAGGAGCTTGAAAAATGTGGGGTTTGCATTTGACATGGGTCATCCTCACTCCCCGGATCTTATGCAGGCTGTCTCCGAGAGAGGCTTGGGAGGAGAACTAATTACCCAGCTCGTTGCACCAAAAATAAAGTTGACCCAAGAAGGAGTGCAATTCCATTTTGTCACTGAGCAACTGGGGCCGGCTTTGGGGACTGGTAAAGCTAGGGCGGCATGGGCATATCACTCCTTACAACCATGGGCTTCCTCCGCCGCACAAGGGAAGTAGTCTTTCCATCCCCCCCCCTCAGCTTTCAGATTTTTTGGAGCGAGGGAGGGTAATCCGAATCAAGTCTTCCAGGGACTCCGTGGCCGACCGGAATATGTGCCTGGATTTTTTACTGAGCAGGAGCGATCAGATCTTTCACCATGCTTGGAGCCTGCGGCCCTGCCGTGCGCTAACGAGTTCAGCCTGGTGAGCTGGGCCGCGTGAAGCCCCCCCCTTTTTTGTTTGCGCCGCTTCGTTGGAAGCCGCACGTGTTCAAACAGGAAGTTATGGTTAAAGGTAAATACCCGATCCAACAGCCACGCCAAGAAAAGCTACAGACAAGCTGGGATGGAACCACATAGCAGAATTGCTCGTCACCGTGGTTTGGCGATGTGTCTGAGGCTGGACCCCCAAAAATGAGATGTGGGCAGGGGCCGACCATGATCGGCCTCTGATGCAAAACCCAGCTCACAACGGCTCGATGCCCGCCAAAATTTCAAGAGCTCACCTCAAAACAGGAAACCGCGAGAAAGCAGCGTTAGCACTCAAGCTGGTTAACATTCCAAGCAAACGCCCCGACTAACGGAGAGCAAAAACGGCCGCAGTCGCAACCTAAATGGGAACAAGGCTTAGGGGCTGATTCTTTGGCAGGTGCCAGCAAGTACTTGTGGTCGAAGCGGTTTGGTTTCTGGTATGCGCCTCTCATGGCTCCGAAAGGTAGTCACCCATTCTCGGGTCTTTTGGCCAAGCGAACCAATCGGCCAGCCTCTTGCGCAAGGGCCAAGTTGCTAATAGTCGAAGGGAGGCCAAAAGGAAACCAACCATTTTTTTGCGCGGCACTATTTTTAGACCCCCCCCCCCCCGCCGGCTTCTTCAGATGGCAGGCGAGTTCGACTTGTCGTCCCATGCCGCAGGCACTTCGTCTGACGCTTCCCCCCCCCCCGTTTGCAGGAGAGCTCAGCCACGGATTGGTCTCCACCCTTGCGGCGAACCTTTACACCATGAGGCTTGGATCGCGCACAGCTTTGGCCGAGGCACCTAGATATGCTTTGCCCATCCGAGCCTCCCGGTAGGCTGCAACTTGCTCCCCTAACTCCTCTTCCCTCGGGCACAACTCAAAATGGCGGACCCCCTTTGGTTTTTAGAGCGAGGCCAAAACTTCTCTTGCTTGCCATGGGTTTTGGGCTTCCAAGCCTCTGGGCGGCATGGGCCTCAAAAAAACGCGTGCCGCATCTCAATCCCAGAAAAAGTGTCCTCTATCCAACAATCACGGAAGGCGGGGCTCTGACCATCCAACTCGACAGCTCCCACTTTCATGTTGGGAACGGTGTAGTTGCGCACCATTCGGCATGAGATTGGCGGCGCATGTGGAAGTCCACGGGTCCACGGCGTACACGTTTCAGCTGCACAGATCCGGTCGCCAGGCGCGTGGTAAACATCCCCTTCATGCTGCGCGATGGCGTGGAGGAGCTGGAGGAGCCGCCACTGTCGGATCAGGAGATGCAAGTCTAGGTCCCCCAGTAGTGCCCTTTCTCACCTTTTTTTGGGTTGGAGGGTTCCCCTACTAAAATAGACTACAGAAAAAAAAGGGTGCCCTTATTCCAAGCTCTCTACTGGAGGACCGAGAAGTGGATACTCCTCGGGTTGAAGCAAAGGGAGGGGCTCTTCTTGCGTCATGGTTGTTGGGACACATTTTACATGTTTGCTTATTGTGGTTTAGTGGTTGAAATCCCCACTTAACTGCTGAAAATTAAATTTTACCTCCCCTTCCAACGTCAGCCAAGTCTTGAGCCATTGATTAGGGGACATGCCATGGGGCAAAGCCACGCGCTTCAGGGGCAGTCCTGACACCCACTGGTGCAACGGTCATGGAAGCGATTACAACGGCACAGGACATGTGCTGGTGTCTTGACGGTTCATTGCGGCCTCTTCCGCTTCACTCATTTTGTTCAGCTGCGCCTGTGCTGACAAGCCGCTGATGAAACACATCCGGAAGTTGTGCAGGCATGCATGCTGTAAGGGCACGCATGAAGAGCATCCAACGTGATCAACCGGCCAGTTGTGTCCATTGGCCAAGCGTCCATTGGTCCACTGTCGTCGTAAGATGTTGCGCCAGCTTGCCTCGCTTTTTGGGGGCTTCGAAGGTGATCGCTCACCACTTGTTGATTGACAATGCTTTAAGCCTGAAATGGTGATGTGACGCAGTGCAAAGCCCAGCTCAATCATACTGCTCAATCCGTGTTGTTGCTTGACCTTGGAATTTGCCTCACGTCTCACAACAACATGTGTGGAAAAATGACGTAAACGGAATGCCCAGCTCGGCTTGCAACAGGCGCCGCCACCAACATGTTGGCATGCTGATTGTAGCATTATACCTCACTTCAGCTAGTCGCTTCGCATTTCTTTCGGCCTTCATCTAATTTGAGCGCCGGGAGCCAGTTTGACTGCTCCAGAGGAGAGGCGCAGGTTCCGCCTGAGCTTTGCCGGCTCTGTGCAGGCGCGGGATCGAGGATGCCAGTGAGTTTGCTCAATCAAAGTCGGAGGAACTCGCGAACCACCAAGTCGGACCTTCAACATGTTTCGGATCTACAGTCGGTAAAGCTTGAGTTGCGGGGGAGGGAGGGTTCTTTTGCGAAGGCGCCTCATGTATATTTTAATCATATGTGGGTTTTGCTGATTTCATTGGGTGGCCACGTCCTCACGACTAGGGAAGAAGCCAAAGACCCACACTGCAGGAAGGTTGTTTAGGACCTTAGAAGGGCTTCCTAGAAAGGTTCTGAGCCTTTCTGGTACCGTCCCTCCTTGTCTAGCGTTCGGGCTCGGAGCGCAATGCTGCACTGGACAGCGGACAGCGCTATTTGTTCCCGCTCGTTGAAGCACACAAAATCCGTGGGGATTTCCAATCCATGGTCAAAAGCGAGCCAATGAAAGAGTCAGAGAAGATGCCCCAGGAGTATAAAGTGATTTTCATGGCAAATCAAGGGGTGGACCTGTTGCATGAGCAGCGCACATGGGCAGCGGGAAATTTCAGAGCGGGGCTGCATCGGGGGCGATCTGAAAGGAAGGGACAGAGCCAGGGCCAAGCCCCGTACAACCCAGTTGAGTCAGCTTCCTGACGGGTGGTTATATCCTTTGCTCTAGGGCAGGGCTTCTGATCAGTGCCACTTGGCCCTCAGGGAGAAAAAAGGGGCATGCCCTGTGCCCAGGTGCACTATTTTTCTTTCCGCTTTTGGTGGTTTCAAACATTCCCTTTTCGGCGAATGTAAGGCGAGTCTCCTTTTGGGGGGACATATAGGGAACCTTGCCCTGCGGCCCTGTGGGCGTGTTGGAGTAGCCTTTGTCACCTGTCGCGTCTCGTGGCGGCCTGGAGGCTCACAACTTTGAGCGCGTGCTCTTCTTAAGGCCTCTGTGCATGCGTCAGCGCGCGTGCGTATGGATGTGCCTTTAAACTGGGGGCCAATGCGTATGATGTCCTTCCTCTAAAGCCAGACCCCGAAACAGAAGCCCTCAGACAAGGGCAGGCCAATATTGGGCATATGCCAAAATAGGGGATTCAGGTTCTCCTTTTGGTTTCCCTTCAAACCAACCTTTAACAGGGTGCCGACTCGAAGAAACAAGCCACATAGAAAATGAGCCGGGTTACCTGCAAAAGGGTGCCCAGAGCCGGGAACTGGGGCCCGAACAGCCCAAGTTGATATGATTTTAACAACACAAAAATGAGAGCTGTTTGACTCATGATCCCCTCCAAAGAATAGCAGTTGACCTTTCTAGACTTTGGGCTTGAGCTTGGGATTGGGTGAAAAGAAAAGGACGCAAGGTTAAGGTTACTCACCCATGGCATGGGAATTGCGAGCCATCCACCTTTTAGTGGTGTAACGTCTGTGGCTTACGTTTGAGGGGGTTGGGTGGCTCTAGGTGAAACAAAAATCCGAAGCCCGGCCAGGGCAGCTGCGGCAGAGTTCCCTCCCCTCGTCAATGGCCCGAAGGCCCAGTCGTCACATGAGGACCAGCTGGCCATGATCCAATATATCTTGTAAGAATGCACGCGGGTGTGTGTGTGTGTGTGTGTGTGTTTCTGGGTGTGACGGTGATGTTTTGTTTAGTGTGTTCATGTTTTTGCATTTTCCCACTGCTTGCTTTTGTGTTTTGTGGTTTAGGGTGGGTTTCGAGGGGGGGACACACACATTTATGTATATTGGGCGTGTACTATCCGCCTTCGAGGGGATGCTCCGGCTGTCAAAGAGCGAGGGCTTTGTCGCGCGGATTTCCTTCGGCCGCAGCCATTTCTTTGTCCAAGTGCTTCTCGACCATATCTCTTCGCCGTGTGCAGCATGGAGGTGACCGTGCAATCTCTCTCAGGCGCGGGGAAACTGAGATACAACCTCGCTGATGGCTATGAGTTTTAGTGGCTAGAACAACCTCATCACACTGTGGACTGACTGAAACATCCAACAATGTATAACCATGCCCATCTTCCGGTCTAACCACCCAAACGGAGCACCCTTTCGTCCGCTGCGTTTTGAGTGCAAATCTCAGGATCCTTATAGGCTGGTAATGGCGAAGGAACAGTTCTTAGCATGTGCTTTGCAATTCCGGCCTGAAATTGCCGCACCGGCAAATTTCGAATGACTGGATGCCAGAAGATATGTTACTCCTGGAACCTGACGTATCGGTCCGGCCGTTTATGAAGCAAGAGGGAATGCTTCATTGTGCATTCCTTGCGGGGAGGCAGCTTGGGGAAGGCGCATAGCAAATGAGGTTTCTCAAGTCTAGCTACCCTTCGATGCTTCAAACATCACCACATCACCTTTGGGAGGACGTGCAAGGAGCTTTGTTGGGGGGTGTGGGTTACCCTGCTAGCACCTGTGGGAAGGTTGCCATTGCAACTGGGGAGAGCAGTTTCCCGAACATGGGGCCCAAACAGCCCTCCGCCTTCCGGAAAAAAAAAAATCCCCTAAACCACGTCACCTGCTGAGCAGCCGTTTTTTGCTTAACTTGAGTGGAAGGCTAAACTTGCTGGTTTTTAGATTTCTGGATCGGTTTCCAGAACATGGCGCCCAAACGGCCCGCCCGAAAAATGAGAGAGAGGTTTCTGCCCGCCAGCCGAATCGGCTGGCGCGAGTGGATCGGCTCAGCCTCGGGAAGCCGAGGAGAGGCGATGCAGGTGCCCGCCGAGCCGTCCTGGACTTGCGGGCAGCTCAGGCGCCGAGCGGTTTTTTTCTGTATGGAACGGGTACAGGTCGGTGCCCCGGTGCCCCAAGCTGAGAGGAGAATGAGTGTGATGCTTTTGCCAGCGGCAGAGGGGAATTATGCTTGGCTTGGGCACCTCGGTTTTTTAGGGATTGCAGAGCCCAAGTTTATGCCACGTGATGCCACGTGTCAATATTCAATAATGTTGCTGCTGAGTTTTGGAAACCAAGTTTCCCTACAAAGTAGTTTCTCAACGTGGTGGACCCCCTGTTGGTTGGCATTCAACGGCAAACCGAAGGGATGAACGAGACCCGTGAAGAAGATTTGCCAAAAGGAGACCTGTGTTGCGATTGTTGCTATTTGCCATAGCTGCAGCTGCGCTTTGCATTCATTTTGATGTCAAGTGATCCTTAGTCTGTTGGAACCTTTCAGGGCCTATAGATTGCTATAGATGTACATTAAGGCTATTCCAGGGGGAGAAATGGTTTAACGGAAGAATCCGTCAGGCACGCAGTGGAAGTCGCACTCGATGGCACTGGGGTTGTGTCGGCATTGCTTCTGGAGAGCCAGCTTCTAGCAGATGAGCAGAGGCTGCATGAGCTGGATTTGGACGGAAAGGTGGTCACGGATCCTTGGCAGTGAGGTGTTCTTAACGTTTGTGTGAAGCATGTGTGGCTTGCAGGTGTCCTCGGAATGTCCTTGGAACCCCGAGGTCGTGGTTGCCGGCTCCACGTCTTTTCTGGAAGGCACGGCGGATCCCAGCATCTTAATCGAGGAGGAAGGCCGTTCCCTGCGACTCCAACGCCCTGAGACTGGAGCGAAACCCTTCTACCCTGCGGTCCGCACTAAGTTTCCGCTGAAGAAAGGAGACGTTCATTGGTCGTCTCCGGCGCGGGTCGAACGGAACCCAGGGAGGCGTTCTTGGAATTGGAACTTCCGCGGCATTTGCCTCTGCAAATTCAAATTGCCAGAGTCTCATGATGTTGCTATATGTTACTGCTACTGCTTCTCCTCTCCGTTTGGTTACTCAGTTGTTTGTGCCTCAGTGGGGGAGGTCTCTAGGACTGCTGGAGTGAGGGACTGAAACAGCGGCTTACTATATACCCAGATCTGATCTGTGCGATGTGCTGCTGCCAGGCTACATGAATCCCATACCATGTTCAGGCATCCTCCCTTCAGATCTCAAGCTGCATTGTGCACTCTTCTTTCGCAGGACGGGTGCATTACTTTGAGGTGCGGCTTGAAGTGGATCCACTCTTCACCTACGGAAGCAAGGTGTGGTTGTCGCAAAATATGGGCTAACTGTCATCCTCTCAGGAGGCGTGTCTCCTTTAAGCCATCCCGAAAAAGCATACCCTCAGGTCAGGGTGTCCTCCATTTCCCTTTGCAGAACCTCCAAAAGTGGCAATTAGAGTAGGCACCGCTGGTAAATTGCAGCTGGGGAAATCCAGTGAAAGGTGAGCCTGCGCATGGGCCTGACGGCAAGTCACCCAGACAGCTATTTGGGCAGCGCTGCTGACGCCTGCGCTTTCTGGTTCGACGATGGGGATGCCTATCACTCGGGAGATCGCTTTCACGCGGGCAAAATGAAGACCCGCATAGTAGTGGGGCCCGGGGATTTGGCAGCCTGGCAAGAGAGAGGCTTCAAGGCGATGCGCTGTTTGAATAAAGCACTGTTTGGGCTGGACTGTATATCCGGCTTGCTTGTGCGTAGTTTCCAGGCGGTGATCAAGCCACAGGCTTGCCTAGCCAAACACCCAAGAGCCCAAATTTAGATGTTGACTTTCTCACTGGCCCGATTGAATTCAGGTTGGCGTGCTGGTGGATCTCACAGGAACAAGTGCGAGGCCAGAGTTCGTAGTGAACAGACGTTCCACTGGACCGGTGCGCTTGGAGACGGACCTCGCCGGACTGCCGCTCTATCCGTGCGTCAGCTTTTGCATGAACCACATTGGCTGCAAGGTGGGCAATTTTGGCTGAAACCGCGGTTTCTGTCATGCCACGGCGTCCTGGAGGACAGGTGGCAACGGATTACACAAGCACACAGACACAGACAGACACACACACACACAGACACACACAGACACACACAGACACACACACACACAGACACACACACAGACACACACACACAGACACACACCCACAGACAGACACACACAGACACACAGACACACAGAGACACACACAGACACACACAGACACACACACACAGACACACATACACAGACACACACAGACACACACAGACACACGCAGACGCACACAGACACACACAGACGCACACGGACACACACACACAGACACACACACACACACAGACACACACACACAGACACACACACACACAGACACACACACACACAGACACACACAGACACACACACACACAGACACACACACACACACACACAGACACACACACACACACAGAGACACACACAGAGACACACACACACACATACAGAGACACACACACACAGAGAGACACACACACAGAGACACACACACAGAGACACACACACAGAGAGGCACACACACACAGAGACACACACGCACAGAGACACACACAGACACACACACACAGAGACACGCACAGAGACACACACAGAGACACACACACAGAGACACACACAGAGACACACAAAGAGACGCACACACAGAGACACACACACAGAGACACAGAGACACACAGAGACACACAGAGACACACAGAGACACACAGAGACACACAGAGACACACAGAGACACACTGACACACAGAGACACACAGAGACACACAGAGACACACAGAGACACACAGAGACACACAGAGACACACAGAGACACACAGAGACACACACACACACACAGACACACACACAGACACAAACACAGACACACGCAGACACACACAGACACCCACACACAGAGACACACACACACAGAGACACACACAGAGACACACACACAGAGAGGCACACACACAGAGACACACACGCACACAGACACACACAGACACACACACACACAGAGACACGCACAGAGACACACACACACAGACACACACACAGACACACACACACAGACACACACACAGACACATACGCACACAGACACACACACACAGACACACGCACACAGACACACACACACACACAGACAGACAGACACACACACACACAGACACACACACAGACACACACACAGACACACACACACAGACACGACACA